GTCCACAAATGACAGGACAGGTTAAAAACAGTAATACCTAAACAAAAATACTTTACAAATTTAAAAAGTAGAGACATTTGGGTGTTGAAAATTGGAGTTTTATTTTCCTTAACTTTAGTAATCGCTGCAAAATCAAACACAGAAAATTGTTTTTAAAAATTACTTATTGTTCTTCAAAGCGCAATAACATCCAATGCCATTACGTTTAGACCATAATAGAAATAAAGATTTGGTCTGTTGAATGGTTGTGTCAAACACTTATTACCACAGGAGTTTGGATAGCCAACCGTAGATGCTTCTATGCAAATTTGATTTTGTCCCATTCAATAATTGTCCCATTCATTAAGGTTCTCCCCTATTTCCGACTGCGAGGATAAACATAAACATCGTAAAACCAGTCCATCAAAATAAACTACTTATTAAACGGTTTTTTACTGAAACAAATTGTACAGCATTCAATGAACAATTATTGGAATCACATTAACGACTCTAACGACGCTAATTTAGTCTATAATACGTTTTTTAAAACATTTTAAAAGTATATGATATTAATTTTCCTAAATATAAATTATTTAAAAAAACGAAAGATATAATATCTCCATGGATTACAAAAGATTTCAAAAAATGTTCTAGAATCAAGCAGAGATTGTATATAAAATATTTAAAAACAAAATCATTCGAAAGTAAAACAATTTACAAGACTTATGTAAAAAATTTGAAATCCAAAGAAAAATGTTAAAATAAATTACTAAATAAAATTACTTAGAAAACATAAGCAAAATTCAAAACACACTTGGGAAATTCTTAGGGAAATTACAGGCAGTAAGAAATCAAAATCAAACTCGTTACCAATGCTCTTAAAATTAATGATGAAATTTTTTATGACCCGAGATTAATAGCTGATAAAATGAACACATATTTTATATCAGTTGGACAAAATTTATCAAAAAATATTCGAGTGGAACTAAAAACAAATAAAACTCTTAACTTTCCTTTAGTGTCTTGTCTAGATTCTCTTAAATTATCCTTTGATGAATTTGATAAAGCATTTAAAATGCTGAAGTCAAATAAAGCAATAGGTCATGATGATATTAGCGGAAATGTGGTTATTAACTCATATAAAACCATAAAAGGTGTTCTATATAAAGTATTTAAATGTTTAATTGATCAAGGATTATTTCCTGATCAGTTGAAAATAACGAAAGTTACACCACTATTTAAAGGAGGAGAATTGTTGAATATCGGTAATTACCATCTTATTTCTGTTCTCTCTGTTTTTTCAAAAATTTTAGAGAGAATTCTTTATAACAAACTTTTTCAACATCTGTCGAAAAATAATATACTGCACAAAAATCAATATGGTTTTAAGAAAAATAACTCCACTGAACACGCTATTCTTCAAATAACTCAGTGTATTACAGATTCCTTTGAAAAGTTAAAATTTATTTTAGGAATTTTTGTTGACCTATCAAAAGCGTTTGATACAATTGACCATAAAATCCTTTTCAAAAAACTAAAATAATATGAAATCACAGGAAATTTTCTTAAGCTAATAAAAAGTTATTTAAGCAATAGAAAACAATTTGTTCATTTTGACCAATCATCTCGATCTAAATTATTAGAAATTACATGCGGCGTTCCTCAAGGATCTGTACTCGGACCTTTACTTTTTCTCATTTACATAAACGACCTTTATGAAGCATCCAATTTGATGACAGTTATGTTTGCTGACGATACAAATTTTTTTTTTATCTCATAGCAACAAAACGACACTATTTTCTTGTATGGACATTGAACTAAATAAAGTTACCCAATGGTTTAAATCAAACAAACTTTCTCTGAATATTGAAAAAACAAAATGGTCTCTTCTTCATTCTAATTCTAAAAAACGTCTAATTCCAATAGAGCTTCCCAGTCTTTTTATTGATGGCGTTTTAATTAAGAGAGCAACATGTACAAACTTTTTAGGGGTATCAATTGATGAAAATCTCACATGGAAAAACCATATTGAAAACATATCCTGCAAAATTTCGAAAAGTATAGGTATATTGTATAAAGCAAGAAGCATGCTAAATAAGAATTTTTTAATTCAACTATACCACTCATTCATTTATTGCCACGTAAACTATGCGAATGCGGCTTGGGGTAGTGTTAATAAAAGTAAATTAGAACCTCTTTATCGCCAACAGAAACATGCTGCACGTCTTATTAATTTTAAAGACCGTTTTGCACATACTAAGCCTCTCTTTATTGAAATGAATATTTTAAATATATTTCAACTAAATGTATTTAATGTACTGTGTTTTATGTTTAAATGTAAAAATCGTACAGCTCCGGTTTCTTTTCACAATTTATATTCCTCAAAAGAAAAAAATAAATATTATTTACGAAATGATAATTTCATTTTACAACCTGCTTTTAAAACAAATTTAGGCAAGTCTTGTATTTTTTTTCGAGGGGCGTTTCAGTGGAACAATATAGTTTTGAAACATTTTGATTTTTCTCAAGACTGGAACTTACATTTAAAAGAAAATTAAAAAATATTATTCTCTCTACTGAAAACATACTTGTATATTTTTAATTTTAATTACTTTGATTTATTTATAATGTTTATACGAATTCTTATATCTAAAATATTTATTTGATCACATACTTGTATATTTAAATTTAGTTTTGTTAACTTTGTTTTGACTGGCTTGTGTAACATGTTGGTTTATACATTTTATATTATTCATTTTGCATTTTATATATTCATTCAAAACGTTAATTTTTACTTCTAACTTTTATTTTAAAAACTTTATTAGGCTTTGTTTATTTATTTTATATATATTACGAAACTGTTTTTAAATACGAAATGATTGTCAGTTGTAAGCGGTTCTTGATGACAAGATCATAAGATCTTCTACTAGTCTCCGCGTTCTTCTTTTTTTATATTTAACAAAATTTGTAATTTTTATTTGTATGCATTTCTTATTTTCAAAAAAAAAGTAACAAACCACATGAAAAAAACAACGATAATAAGATGTATCAAGATTAAAAAATAAAAATTATTTGTATAAGTTACATCTGAATAACTTTTTTATGACTTAGTTTGGCAAATAATTTTCATTTATAAGTAACTTTTTTATGTTAATTACTTTTATTTGTAAAAATAAATTTCATTTACTACGCACTTCTAAAATTAACTTTATATGATTAAATTTTAGATTCCATTTAGTTATTATTATTTAGTAATTGCATTTTAATTGTATATATATTTTAATTGTAAAATATATTTAAAATATTTTACATTTAAAAATGACTTTTTTACTTAAAGGAAGTAAAAGTTCTATCCCTAATTTAACCTGAGCCCATGATTTTGTTAAAACATATGTATTAGCTGTTGTAGGTCTAACACTATTTTTAGGATTAAAATAAGTTTTGAGGGTGAAGAAAAAGACAGAATCCCAAAAGTTAGTTGGATTTGATACAATTTCCTGCATGTACCCAACAGTCGAAAGTTGCATGTACTTTTGATTTGTAGGCGTTCGCGCTACTAAAAGTTTTTGTAAACGTCCGCGTTCACTGAATGCACTTTCCACTTCTCGAATTTCATTTTTTAAAAAGTAAAAAAAAATCATTTAATTAAAAAGCTTTTTTTCCGAAATTTATTTACCTACTCGGTGTAGTTAAGGCACTTTTAAAATATTATAGCGTCTGTATGATATATTGTTGATTATGACATATTTCCGTGAAATGGTTTGGTCTGTGAATTATGAAAAGACGAAAAAAATTAAAATAGTAAATTTTGCAGTATTATAAAATATAAATGTTTGTAGCGAAAAAACCCAGACCGTGGAATCTTTTTTTTAAAAAAAAAAATAATCCTAAAATCACAATCGCTTGTCCAAATTTAAATAAGATTTTATATTAATACGTTTTTTAGGTGAAATGAACATAGTTTAACAATATGATCTGTTCTGATCGTTTATTGGCAACTATTTATAATTATAAGCTCTTTCTTGGTCGGAATTCCAGTATTTTTTTGTGAAAATTGATAGAAATATTGTGTTTTGACAACTATAAATAGTTAATATACGTCAGAACCGATTAGAACTAAAATCAGTAGTAAATTAAGTAACTTTTTAAAAAGATTTTAACTAAATTCATGTTAATGTCGATGAGCGAAATTGATCTAAAGACTCCAAAATAGTGTTCTTTAGATACATTATTACGGGTTGTAAAAAGATTTTAAAAATTATATATAAAAAAGAAAAGTTTCTTCAAATATTATAAAAACCTTAAGCAAAAAAAATTATAACATTTAAAGATCTTGTTTGGGCATAATATGCTGACAAAACCATGATAATTCCAAATAAAAGTATTCAAATATTTTGTAAATCGCCTTAACTAAACCGAGTATGTAAAATTTTTTTATTCGAAAATAATTTAGCTAATCGAAATAGTTTTTTTTTTTTTTTTTTTTTTTTTTGCAACTAATTGAACTTTTAGAAACTAGTTTTTTTTTTCGAAGTTTATTTAACTTTTCGAAATTCAACTTAAATTTCGAAATTAATTTAATTTTTTTTTTTTCGAAATTAAAATGAGTTTTTAAAATAAAAGTTTTTGAAACTATTTTAGCTATTCGATAGTTTTCGAAAGTTTTTACGAAATCCGAAAAAAAGTTTTTTTTTCGGATTTCGTAATCGATAACGTTTTAATCGAAAATTTTCGAAAATTTTATTTAAAACCTTACTTTAACATGTTAAATACTCATACTTTTATGAGTTTATTAGCAATTATCATACTTTTTTAGCAATTACTCATACTTTTTTAGCAATTACTCATACCTTTTTGAGCAGTTACTCATACTTTTTTGAGCAAATACTCATACTTTTATGAGTTGAATTATTCATTTTTTTATAAGTTAGATTATTTATGTTAAAAGCTATTATTGCAACGCTTTTTGAAAAAGGTGATTTTAAATTTCCGAAAAAACAAATAAATAAAAACTAATTTAGTAATGATACAAATAAAAAATATACTTATAAAATTTTTTGATAAAAAAATTATTATCATATTACAAATATATAAAATATATAAAAACTCTTTTATATTAAAATTTCTTATAATTGTAGGTAAAAGTAAAACCAAGATAAGACCGATCTAACAACAGTATTTAACAGTAGAATTTCAGCGTTTCTTAAGCAGAGCAACTCTTCTCGCATTCCTAAAAATAACAAAATATTTTATAACAATTTTATTAACTTTTTTACCTTAAGTTTAAAAATTATCCTATAAACAGAAAAAAAAAAAAAAAAAAAAAGTAAAATAAATTAAATAAAATCTACAATAAATAATACAACTATAAAAATAAATAATACAACTAATATTTAAATAACATAAATACCCGCCATAAAATGACATAAGGGACCCTTAAGGGTATATTAAGGGCAAATTTTTTTCGACTTTTTTTTATTTTATCAATTTACATTTATAATACCTTATCTTACTTTTTTGATAAAGCTTAGTTTATATTAATTAATTTTAAACATTAAAGTTTGTTTATGGCAAATCCTAATTTTTAGTAATTATGATAATAATTACTATTTATTTAATTATAATAATTATAATAGTAATTATTTTATTATGATATATTTATAGCTTTAACTGTTCACTTTTTTCCCTGGCATCACGAAAAAAGTTGAGTTAAAAGTTGCACGATTTTTCAATAACGCTAGAGATTGCTCTGGTGGTCGGCTGCATTGATGTAAGAAAACAGCAGTTTCGATTGACGGGAAAGATACAGTGACAAGAGAATTTAAATAAAAAATATCTTGTACTTTAAATAGCATTACTATGTAAATAATATGTAATATATAACAGTTTATGTAATATGAATCATATTAACAAATATATTAAAAAAATATTTGTTATATTTTATAAAAAAAAAAAGAATTTAAAAAAACAACCACGCTTTACTACTCATTTTTTGAGTGGTAATGTGTGGTTTTTTTTTGGTCGCTTAAGGGCTAGCACTTAAGGGACCCTTAAAATCCGAATAAAAATTTTCGCAAGGGTCCCTTAAAGGCATGCCCTTAAAGAACCCTTAAGTTTTTTTAAGTCGGGTATAGAGATGAATAATAGTTATAAAAATAAATAAACCAACTATAAATAAATATATAAACTTGCTAATGATCAATGTTGAAGCATTAATTCTTGCTATAAACGCATAATAAAAAATATGCATGAAATATGTGCTAACTGATACAATGTTTGGACTCAAACTTTTTATTTTTACTGACATCATTAAGTCTTAATATACATACATAAGACAGTACAATCTCTCTAATTCGAATTTTACGGGGGAAAAGAAAAGTTCGAATTAGAGAGATTTTTGAATTATGGAAAGATGGCATTTTTTCAAACATTCTTGTCAAAGTAACGAATAGAAATCAATCAATTAAAGAAATAAAAATAAGCAAAAAGTATATATTGCATTTAGGTCTACTTCTTATGCCTAAATTCAATATATATTATGTGTTTTAAACTTTTATTTTGTTTTATAATATATTTATGTGTTTTGTCTTTTATGAGCTTTTAAATTCATGTCAATGACCCAATTTATGTTAAGAGCCTTTGTCAAACTATATCCAAAGTTAGAATAAAGAATGTAATTTTCAAGTACAGTGATAGCATGCATTGCTTCATTCAAACTTGGTTTTGTAGCACCGTCAGAAACATCAACTTTCCATTACAGCCTCCTCTAGATCAAAGCTACAGAAAGGAGTGCTTGGTGGAATATCAAAGATTTTGGAAACTCTTTGTTTGTTTTTCTTTTCTCCAAAAGATCTTCTTATTTTTGCTTTAAGTTGTTTTCTTTTTGTAGTCTTTTTGATGCCATGATTTTTTTTAAAGAGAAGAAAATAATTTACACTAATCGTTTTTCAAAAATTCAAAAAATTCAAAATTTGAAAAAAGAATCCAATGGTTTAATGAACTTTTTACACCTAAGAAAATAAAAAAGTTGGATTTACAGAGAGAATTTTACTCTAGGGGTATTTGAGGACTTCAACCAACTTCAAATGCTCAAATGCCATGGCACTGAAAGCTTTATAATAATGTGGATTATGAATAATGCAGATATATATATATATATATATATATATATATATATATATATATATATATATATATATATATATATATATTTATTTAAATGTAGAAAAACAACATTTAATAGTGAAGTTTCGTGATTTTAAATATTTACAACTCATTATTCTAAAAAATATTGTATTTTCTTCTTTTTTTCAAAATGTTTTATTTAAATTTGATGATTCTTAAATAAACCTTGCCTAAACTTACTGAATGCTTTTTCAATGTAATCTGTTGAAAACTCTCCTAACATAATCAAATTGTTTTTTAGCAAATATTTACACATCTCGAGGGCTCCATAACATGTATGCCAAATATTTGAAGTTTCGTGCCTTTCGGCAATCATTAGCCATTAATTAGAAATCAAAAATGTAAATTAACGTTTAAAAAAACAAATCAAAAATTTACGGTAGAACAAGTTCTGACGTAATTTTAAAAAGACGCAATCATTTAGTCTTCAGTATCAAACGAAGATAACAGGAATTTATTTAAATGTCAACATTTAGATATTATTTCGTCTTTTTTTTTAAGCAGGTTGTTCTATTAAAAGATAAAATTTCTAATTTCTCATGAGGACAAAGGTTGCATGTTTTTGTTTCTGGTTTGTAAAGGTTTACAACGTTTTATAACTTTCCACTTTATTATAGGTATTGTACTTTTTTCTTTTAAACTCCAAATTTCCTTTGAGATTTCAGTATTATTTTTATATTTGATTGCATTAAAAGATTTTAAATGATTTGCATATCTGAGCTTGAATGGTGAAATCTTTTTTTTGCGCCTTTGAGTCAATAAGATGTGTTTTTGTTAAGCGTAAGTTTTCAGGAATTTAAATTTTTCTCCGTATTCTTTATCTTTCTTTTCCACTTATTTTTTTTATCTGACCATTACTTCTTTCTTTTCTTATTGCTTTATCTTATTAGCTTATTAATTACTTTTCTACTTAAAAATTATAATAATATATTAACTATATTCGTGTCTAAAATACAGTTTTTGTACTTTGCATTACTATATTTTATATAATTCTTAAACATACCTATACTTATATTTGATTATATATATATATAATATTATAATTTGAAATATATTAATAATATATTTATATATTATTATTATAAAAATAGTTATAACCAAGATTATATTTATGCTTCAGTTCGCTAATATTTTTACAGAATTTTATAGTTTTTTTTTTTTTCTCTCTCTTCACTAAAGTTTTAAGTTGCGTTTGCACCTGTTTTTATTTTACTGTATGTTTGTTTTCTGAATAATTTTCTGAACATTTTTAATTTTTGTGCTCTGATATAAACAATATTAGTAAATATATTTGAATAAATTATATGTAAAATACATATAAAATTAATATATATAAATAATACATATAGTATAAATAAATATATATTCGTATATATAATATATATTAGTATTTGATATACACGATACGATCCAATATTTATAAGAAAAAGAAAACAAACAAAACAAAACAAAAAAAATTTTTTTTAACAAAAGTAAAATGAAAGTAAAATCATGACAAATTTAACGGCTCAGCAAGAAAAACAGATAAAAAAGATGTCAGATGGCGTAATAAAAATTTTCAAGGATGAAATAAAAAACTTAAAATCCGAGGTTGCAGAATGTGTTAAAGAAAACAAGCAACTAAAAAGTATAATTACAGAAATGGAAAAATCAAAAGAATTCAATTTTGATACAAGTGGAACTACGTGGTCAAAAGTTGTATCAGCGCTGCCAAAAAAACAAATGACTAACTATCTTTTTGAAACCACAAAATAACGTAAAGACCAAGAATGTAGATAAACAAATGTCATCATCTATGGATTAGAAGCTACGCAATGTTCTTCACAGACGGAAAAACTAGTAAATGAAAATCCCAAGTAAATAATTTACTTAGTGCTACCGAATGCGATGGAGCAAAAGTGAGATCTATTGGCCGTCTTAAATCCAAAGGAAGCATCGATCCTTAGCTTATCGAGCTTGAAGACGTTAACAACAAAAATATGGTTCTTAAAGCACCAATTAAATTAAGAAAAATCAAAAAAATATGAAAATGTGTATATAAATCGCGATCTAACAGCAAGTCAAAGATTCATTCTAAAAAATGAATTAATAAAACGAAACAAAAAAAAAAAATAAGTTAAAAAGTGAACAAGAAAAAATTAAATTTCATTACGGTATTAGAAATGACAATTTTACTTTTCACAAATAGCCACTAGCAACCACTAATTTAGTAACGTCATCAAAATCTCCCCAAAAAAAGACAAATATTGACTATACTCGAATAAAATCTCAACTTGTTCAAGATCAACATCTCAACAAAAACAAACTGAACACTTCTTACTTTGAATTGGATAAAGCCACTATTTTCCTTAAAAGATGTGAATTATGTTTTTCTAATCAATTCTCAGTGTTTCATTTAAATATTCTTAGTATTACTAAAAACTTCAACGAACTAAAAGTCCTACCTTAACTTTAACTTTAACTTAATTTGTTTAACGGAAAGCTGGATTTTAGATACAACATTTAATCAAAATTCTAATTTTATTTTGCCCAACTACAAAGCCATTAGTTTTGATCGTAAGTCTTCAAAAACAAAAGGTGGTATACGTGTCTATGTGTTTGATGAATTTATTTATAAAATTAAATATGACCTGTTGTTCTCTGAGCCGGATTTTGAATCTTTCACTTTAGAAATTTACAATAAGTCATATAAATTATTATTTTGACAACAACATACCAACCACCAAACGGATGTTTAAATAACTTTCAAAATCACTTACTGATAATAAGATTTTATCTTCTTCAGGTTCTCCGGTCTTGTAACTATTATAAATAATGAAATGTACTTGTATTTAATATTTTTAAATATTTTATCGGAAATTACCTTTAATTGTAAATGGTTGCTTGACAAAAAAAAAAAAAAAAAAAGGTGTCTCACTGATACCAAAATATACTTTTTCCTTAGGATCCAGATCTTCAGAACACACAGTGGCTTGTTAAACAATACTACTTAATAAACATTGGTTGCTTAATAGACAAGCGGTTTTAGTAATACAGTTGCATGTTTTTGTAGTTATACTTCTTTGACTTTGTAAAATCTTGTGGTTGTGTGAACTAATGATGGATTTCATATTTTGCATGCAGCTTTAACTAACCTTGATCGAATTTCTATGGAATATCCTGCGTAGTTTATGATTCACAGGAAAATGTAGGTCCACCAATGCTAATAAACGATTTTCTATTTTGTACATTTTGACTGAACGGAGGGTTGTACCATATAATATTTCACTAATGATTTTTATTTTTAGGTGATGTAACCTAGAGTTGGTATGTAAGCTTACAGTTATAGCCAGCTTTTTTAAAAGCCTCTTCATAAGATGGTGTAGCATTATTAAAAACAACTTCATTTGTTGATGTTGAAGATATTCTTTTTTAACAGTGCGTTGGAGTCTTTTGATAACAATAGGCGGGTGGTTGGAATCACATTAGATATAGATCAGTTCATTATTGAGTTTAGAGTAAGGTCAAAAAAAGTTGCCATTTAAAATCGAGTGTCACATCAAGATAATTTTCAATTTTCATATTGCATTGGATGGATATAGAAAAATCATTACTTTTAAATATTTTTACAAAGTGTTTCCATCTGCTGGCCATTGGTGTTCTTAAATATTGCTAGACTTTTGTCATAATACAAACCAACATTTTCTTTTTTGTAATGTAACGAAATTTGAAATAATAAAAAAATAAAAAAATTCCTACTAACTCGCAAACTTCAGCACCGTCATAAGCCCCCATGGTAACATCAAATTGACCACCATTTTTCTTAACCCACGCTTCCTCATTGTTAAAAAGTTAAGATTTCCTTGAATGTTTTATTAATTTTTTATGCTCAGTAGTTATTAAAATATGCTGTTTGTCAAAGTTGATTGCGTTGTTTAGAGTTTTTTCAATTATCAAAGGGTAAAAATTATTAATGTCAAAAATTAAAAATTTGTACAAATATTTGTCTTCAATTTTTATAATATTATAATATTATAAATTTTATCTCTTTTATTTAATCGAATTAATTAAAAAAGTTTATGTAATTGTTATAGTCTTTAGACATTATATTGCTGTTGATAAAAAAAATCGCTTTCCATCACATCTTTAATTTTATTTTTTATTTTTTTTTCGGAAGGTATTGGTATGTTTTTGATCAAATATCTTATTTTTTCCATTTTCTAGACGAACTTGAGTAGAGTGCTCAACTGGTAGGAACAAATTTTGGTTATGTATTATATAAAATAATACAAAAATAAAAAATAATAAAAAAGAAAAAAAAAGAAAGTAAAATAATATAAAAAAAATAGGTAAAATACCTATAATAAAGTGGAAAGTTATAAAACATTGTAAACCTTACCAACCAAAAACAAAAACAAAATTTCTAATTTCTCATGAAGACAAAGGTCTTCATGAGAAATTAGAAATTTTATCTTTTAATGGAAACAACATGGTTAATAAAAAAGACGAAATAATATCTAAATCTCAACATTTAAATAAATTCCTGTTATCTTTCTTTGATACTGGAGACCAAATGATTGTGTCTTTTTAAAATAACGTCAGAACTCGTTCTACCGTAAATTTTTGATTCGTTTTTTAAACGTTAATTTATGTTTTTGATTTGTAATTAATAGCTGATGATTGCCAAAAGGCACAAAACTTCAAGTACTATTAAAATGTTTTTTTTTTCATTAAAATAAAAAAAATATATATCGCTCTATTATTATAATATCGAGCACTGTTTTTTGTACAAGAGTTTTGTATTATTTTATATAATACATAACCAATATATAAATATATATATATATATATATATATATATATATATATATATATATATATATATATATATATATGTATATATATATATATATGTATATATATATGTATATATATATATATATATATATATATATATATATATATATATATATATATATATATATATATATATGTATATATATATATATATATATATATATATGTATATATATATATATATATATATATATATATATATATATATATATATATATATATATATATATATATATATATATATATATATATATATACTTTCGTACAAGATGTCAACATCTAAATCATGTGTATATATAATATATAAATATTTTTACTTATATGTTATAGTATATAGTATATAATATATAATATATATATAAAATAATATATTACAAAATATAAATACAAGTTCAAGTTGATATAAAGATATTTATATTTATAGCTTTATTTAAGAATCAGATGATTTTGCAGCTTAATAATAAAATATAAAGACAAAAGATAACAAGAATTTTGTTTAATATATGCCTCATAGATTGAAACTTTTTTTTTTAACAACATTTTGTTGTTGAATAAGTATTAAGAGATTTCCTCATCATTTTGAAGGATTTATTGATTAGATTGAAAAAAACATTAAGCATTAAATAGTAATATTTACTTACAGCATCACCATTTGATGCCCCGTTGCGTGCTTCATTAGCAATCAGACCTTCCTTATCATTTAATAAGTACGCTTTTTTTGTTTTCTTGCGCTTTGATGTCTTATTTAAAACACCATTCTAAATAATAAGCTATATACAAATATTTAATATAAAATAAAAAAAGTTATTGTTTTAAATTTAAAACAAATAACATGAAAATGTAGACAGTCAGACTATTTAAAGGACTGAACATACCCGTCTGAAATCAACAATGTTTAGAATAACAGACAACAAGACACATGCCAAAGCATTTGCAAATAGAAATAACATAACAAATTTCCACTTGTGGGAATTTTTTCTTGGAAGTAAATAATTAAAAATTAATATGATAATTATTAACAACAATTATAACATTTTATAATTATAATCAACAATTATAACATAATAATTAGAAAAATTAATATAATAAAAAGTAACATAACATAACAACAGCAATAAAAAAAGAAATTCTATAAAAGATTAGCAGTAATTTTCAAGATTTTTATTAAAAAAAAAAAACTTATTATATTTGATAAAACATGCAATATATGTTTTATCTATTTTAAAATAGACAAAACATACCTAGCAAAAATATACTAAAATTTACTTATAGCTATCAAGAATGCTTCCGACCACTAAATTACAAGAACCATTTCCAATCATTTGCATTGAACTCATCAAACCCATTGCTGTACCAAGAAAAATAGGGTTAACAACTAATGGAACTGAGGGACACAAGCTAGTCTAAAAAATGTTACACTTAATACAAGAATAAGAAAATTTTTTTTTATTTTTTGAAACATAATTTAACCTTACCGCAGCAGCTGAGTATGTTGCACCAAGCAACAGAGTTCCAATCAATGGATGCCATTCAGTAAATGCAAGTATAGAAAAAACAGGTATAGTAAACACTGCACATGCAGATGCCATTATACCTCGATAACCAATGTAATCCTGGAAACAAGTAGTAATAAGAAATCATATTTTTAATAAAACAATAAATTTAGCAGATGGTAAACTTTAAACTTTACCACTGTTATTCCAAGTAACGGCGTAAGGATTAATGAAATGTCATAAACTGAACCAGCTATAATTGCAGAGTTCTGATCTTTGTAATGATATTTCTCATGAACAAACTTACTACAAATAAAATGATGAAATAAAAAATCTTTATATACAAGTTAGAAAAAGTAATTATTTAAAAATTAATAATACTTTTTTAAAGTGAAAACTAAGATAATAAATTTTTTAAGAAGTCTGGATTTGTATATATTTGTGCATGTCTTGTGTGTTCTCTAGGATGGTTTTTGAAACAGCATTTTTGAGAAATATCTGTTCTCTCCTCATCCTTATTAAGTACTTTATAATAAATCAACACCAAGTTTTAAAATATATTAACAATTATTACAATTACAAATAATTTATAGACTTAAGAAAAAAATCTTGAGCAACAGACAAATCTTTAATATTATCACAAAAAAACAAAAAAAACAACAACAACAACAACAAAAAAAACAAACACATTTGTTCATAAGTATGTCCAAGACATAAGAAGCAAAAGAAGCAAAATATAAAAAATTTAAAACAAATAATTGTTTTATATAAAGATTATTATTTTAAATGGTCTTTTAATACATAGTACAGAAATGAACTTTTTTGCAGTTTATTTCCGACTTAAAATCATTTTTATTTTTGTTTTTAGGTTCACAAATTGATTAATGTGCAAATGTTTTGCATAAAATTATCAGAAAAAAAAATATGCAAAGTTTGCTGACTTTTTTTTAAATGTTAATGTTTTTTAAAAATTAAAAAAAACAAATGTTTTTCTGATTTTATTTTAACTATTTTATTTAGAATCAATAAAACATACATTTTTAATTTAATTGATTTGTTTACAATTCAAATAAAAGATTTGTATATAGAATTTAAATAGAACATTTGTTTTGTCGTTTTATTTTTTATTTGTTTTTTAATTATTTTATATTTTATTGTTTTATTTTTTTTAATTTTTTTATTTTTTGTATTACTTAATTTATAATTTAATTAAAATTTGTTTTTTTGGTTGTTTTTTTTAATTACTTTATTTAATTTAAATAAATGTTAGTTTTTTTTTAGGGTTTTTTGCATTATTTAATTTAGAATTTAATTACAATGTTTTTAATTTTTTAATTTAATTATTTTATTTAGAATTTAAATAAAATGTTTGTTATGCTGTTATGTTTTTTTGAGACTTGTTTTAAAATGAAGCATATGTGAATAGTTTAAAATTTTTATCTTAAAAGATAGACTTACATTTTAAAGCATTTTTTATGCTGAACAACTCCTTAAGGTCTTAAAATAAAAGGGTGACTAGTTATTTAACAAGTAAACGCTACAACTAATACACATTTTTTTTTTAAATAAAAGTTTTCAATCAAAACTTTTATTAAAAAGGTCATGTGGTCACATTTCATAAAAACAAAATTAAATTATTTTTTTAAAAATATATTTCTGGTTTAAAAAATCAGGGAAACATTTGAACATGTTTTTGTCTTCATCGTCCGTTTCTTTTTCTTCTTTGATGTCATTGATGCCCTATAGGAAATAGAATAGCAAAAATACAACTGATATTTTGTGGAAATATTAATATTTGATAATAAAGATAAATGATGTGAGAATGCCTCTTTTTTGTAAAAAGTTCATTGTTATAATTTACCTTACTATTCATACATTTTGTTCCATGACATTCCCCATAAAATTGCAAACACTGTATTCCTTATTTCCTACATGTACATGCTTTGCCACCACAACATTTTTTTGTTGTTGTTTTCAAGATAAAAATAATTCATACAGGCTCTGAGTCAGTCGGTTTTTACTGGAAGGAATAAGTAACATCATAAAAGTTTCTTTTTAACAAAATGTAGAAAAACTCAACAAAGTGTTGGTTTTTCTAGGGGCTTTTGCATCATTTAATATCCAACACCATGATTGTCTTTAATCATTTTGTTATACAACTCTCTATGGAATATATTTCACTTCTTGTGGCATTTTCGAGCCAACCGCAAATGTTTTCAAACAAATTGATCATGATAGGATTTTCGGATCTTCCTCCTACCATTTTCCTCCACTTTATTCAGCCCGAAGTCAGGCATGCATGAATTATGATACACTGGTTCTGCTGCAACCAGGTCATTTAATGCTTCCAATCTTGTAAGTACTGCTTTTACCCATTCTTTGCTTTCGCACACTCAATAATAGTGATGTGTAATAGTAGTGTTTTCACTTGGTAGAGTTTTCACTTGGTGGAACCTTTCTTTATGTTGTGTAATAGGCTTTGAGCAATTAATACAACAAACTTTCCAAAGAAAAGTAGTTTTGGTTGATGAACATAACCTCTTAGATTCTGATACAGCAGGCTATTTCCGAAAATCTGTGAGCCTCCAGCATTGCACTGGCTCTTAACTCTCTTGAATGGTCTGTTAGCATTCAAGTTAGATTGGTTTCCTTCTTTGTAGAAAATGCTCTCAATAGGGTTCTCAAGCCTTTTTCACCAACCATATTCATTAACACTTTATCACTTTCACAAATAATATATTGCATGGATGCCATTTCTAAATTAAATTATAAAGGAAAAATACCAGAATCAAATAAAATCTTCAGCCAAATGCCTTTTATTCAAATTATAGTAGATAACAATCCATCTAATAAAGTTTATACAAATTGAAAATAGATTTAATATCCTTAGAATTATGTTAAAAAAAAAAAAAAAAGAATTACTATTTCAAGAAGATAAACACCTCAAAAATAAAACTGAGAGTGAAAAATTATTATAGGGATCCTAAACTTCCATCACATGTTGTGTTCATATTAAAGATAATGTTGAAAAAAAGGTTTGAACCAAGTTTTTTTGAAAAAAAATAAATAGCCAAAGCTCGCCTCCTCCATTTTATTCAATAACTCGAAGTCTTTAAATTATACGTTGCAATCTACAGACTTCGGCGAAGTAATTTTTCAACATAAAGTAAAACAAATTTATTTGTATTACTTTTCCAAATATCGCAAATAATTTTTTTAAAAAGTAAAAACAATAAATTACTTTTATTTTATAGAAGCAAGTTATTTTTTACAGATATCTTAATAATTTTTAGATTTATATATCTTACTTATATTTCTTTTGTTTTTAAATTAAAACAAATATTAAAGCTTTACTTTCAATTATATTGAACATTTTAATTATACGGTCTCTCATTTTTGTGCAAAAAAGCGCAGTATTATATATTATGAATCTTACTTATTTTCATTTAAACAATGGGAACTATTTTCCAACTTCTCTATGGTTACTTTTACTATGACATTTTTTGTTTTCCTGTCAAAAAAAAGTATTTATTAGCAATTACTTTCATAAACTGACAGTATTAATTAGAGATATTTGAATTGTTAACTTTTTTTATTATAAATTTTTTTTGATTATGTTGATTTAATATAAATTGCTAAATTTGCTGAATTGGATATGGATAAAAAAGAAATATTATTTTATTTTACATTTGATATTTGATAATGAAACTTTTAAAATGCCAGCAACTCTATACCAATTAGAACCTATTGAGGCTATGAAAAAAAAGAAAAAAATAAACAATACAGTTGACAGTAGTATCAGATATGAAAATTCGTGAAAGGATATGTGAGATCCTGGTTTTGCATTAAAAGTACAATTAATAGCAACACAAGTCGGCATTATAAATTTTGATTATAAGTTTAATGTTCAATATTTTATAACCATCAAATTAAAAACATGAAGTACGTATATTTTCCCCCGTTTTATAAAACTAATATTTAACGAAAATATAGAAAAATTATTATTAAATAACGCAATAACACATTAAATAATGGCAATGTTCAATTCATAATTCAAGATAGATGGTAATTAAAATTGTCAAAATGTTATTACGCGCATTAAAAATCATATTATATTTGGTATTTTCTAATTTGTGTTGTATTTGGCATTTGTCTCTTAACATGAAAAATTAAAAATTTTTAAAAGCATAATTGACAAGCAATTTTTCCTTTCAATTCTTATTTATTCAAAGAAAAGTTAAAATTAAACTTTTATTTTTCTCATCTAAAAAAAGATTACGCAAAAAGATTGATGCAAAAAAAAAAAATTATATAAAACTCGTATTTATTTGAAGTTTAATAACGCAAAACTTTTCTTTCTCTTTTGCTCTATTCTTTTATAAAAAGAGCGCGCAATGAAATAAAAACTTTTCTTTCTTAACATAAAATTAAACTTAGATAAAATTAAATTAGAAATAAATCAAAAATGAGCAAAGTAAATAACAGATTAATCTGGGACTAATTTGATATTAATGAAAATAATCAACATAAACAACATTACCAACAACAATAACCAAATAAACAACACAATATCGCATGATTTTAGGGGCTTTTTATTTTTATTGCTAATTCGTTTTAAATAATTAATAAATTTAGTTCAAGTTAATATTTCAATATTTACAGTTGCAATATAATAAAGAAATGATGTTTAATGTTGAACTTTTTATTTAGTTATTTATTTTTTATCTACATTTGTTATAAAAATCTTTAGAACCCCCGTCATTAAAATAATTTGTTTTAAATATATTTTGACGATTATTCAAACTAATTTTTTTCATTTGACTTTAGAACTTCATGCAAAGCAAATTGAGACGAAATATCATCTAATCAAATATAAATGCTGTTACTAATTTTATACACGTAATTAATATAAAACAATTTTTTACCAGTCTTAATTGAGATAATAAATATTCATAACTTATAAACATTAAATATATGTCGCAATAACAATTTATAGCAACGAAGCAGCATAAAATATTTGAGGTTTTTAATACCTTTTTAAATGTTAAAAATAGAAAAAAAAAACTAAACAAATAATCAAAAAAATTTCGAATAAAAATAAATAAAAATACTTCCAGAGTTTCATTTGCTAAAAGTCTACTGTGACGTCAAATACTAAAACTTTTATGAATTAAACGCGTTTTAAAGGAATCACCAAAGTCTGTAGATTGCGACATATAATATGTAAAAAGACTCTGAGTTATTGAATAAAATGGAGAAGGTGAGCTTTGGCTAAAACATCAACATTAGTTTTTTTTCGGTATGCATTCATTATTTATTTTTAATCAAAAAAACTTGGTTCAAACCTTTTTTTTTAATATTACCTTTAATATGAACACAACAGATTAAAGCCTAAAATTGAATCTGTAATACTTCTTGGTTTTCACACACATGATTAAGTGAGGTCATCTTGATGGTATTATCACCAAAATGACCTCACAGAGCAAGATGATTGCTCTGTGAGGTCATCTTGATGATTATACCATCATCAAGATGACTTCACAGAGCAATCATCTTGCAATGACCTCACATTGCTGTGAGGTCATCACAAGACATTGCTCTGTGAGGTCATCTTAATGATGGTATAATCGTTAAAATAAATGAAAACTCTAAACAATTATTGTGAGTTGCTTCGATTTGGAGTGAGCGCTGGGGAAAATAATTTAAAAATTCACTTAGATTACTGTAATTCTAAAGCAACATGCATAAGTAAAAGTATTCAAAATATTTGAACTATGTGATGAACAAATTCAGAACTTAATTTAAACACAAATTTCTAAAGAAAAATTTTACAGCGTTATGTTTGATGAAACAACAAATACCAGTCATATTTAATACTTTTATTGGTTTTGTAAACTGTCATACTGGAAATTATTCTGATTTTGCGTATGAACCAGTTGCAAACACATAAACAAAATTTGGATTAAATTTAAAGAATTGTGTTAATATAGAAACTAATAGTTGCAGCGTTACGTTAGGTGAAAACAACAGGGCAGTTACGAAATTACAGAAGATCCTAACAAACACAATAAAAAGTCAACGTTATAACCATGGTTTAAATCTATCAATTTCAAAATGTTGGTCTGTACAACCTGTAAGAAATACAATTGGCACAATGAATTAAGTACCATTAAATACCATTTTTTGAAGTAACTTGCTTAAATATATAAATAAAAGTAAGGGAATGCCTACAAGCTTATGTGAAACAAGATAGATTGAACGACATGATTCTGCATTAAGTTATAGATCTCGTTTGATAATAATAGTAGAAACTCTTGATTTGATATCTCAGTGGAAAGAATGGGATTCTTCAACAAAGGCTGCATTACTAAAAAATGCAATACCTGAGCCCTTTTTTGTAATAATGCTTTGTTCATTAGCCAATGTGTTTAATACAACAGTCTCTTTAAGTGAGGCTTTAAAAAAAAAAACAGATAAGAAAGATGCAAAAACTATTCAGAAACATACCATAAAAATATTAAATAAAAGAAAAAAACTTCAATGTTATATAAAAGTGCATTAAAGTTATTAAATTTACAATCAGAAATCAGGATTTCTATAAATTACAGGAAAACAAACTAATCACCCAAACCTCAATACCAATGATCCTCAATTTACTCATGAGTCAATGTTTATTTACTGTTACTTATAGTATACCTCTAGATTTACAGTTAACTAGAAAACTAAATTTTATATTGTAGTTTTCTAAATTTTTTGTTGAGATTTGATTAAAGGAAAAAAATATACAAAAAATTTTTTTTCTTTTATTGCACATGAAAGACTTACTATTTATTAATACAGTTTAATTATATTTTGTTTTTTATTAGTACATTATTGTTACTATAAAAAAAAATGTTTTTCTTATTATTTTATTGTATTGTGGACCTTTTTTAATTGGATCTGTTGCTGCTTTTGATTACCCCATAAGGACAAAGTCATGGATCCGCCACTGTGTTTGTAGAAATTAAATAGAATTTAAATAAAACATTTGTTTTTTTGTTATGTAAATATTACTTGAGATATAATACCAACAACTATAAAAATGTGTTTAGCTCACAATCACCTGTAAATACTGTGTAAATAAACCAAACAAATTCAATTTTCACAAAGCTGATTACAATGCAATACAGACATCCTTACTTAATGTAAATTAGCTATGCTCAAAACAAAATCAAGATATTGAATAATTCTGGCAAATTTGTAATTATTTGAAATCATCTGTTTCATTACATATTCCAGTAATTTGCAATAGAAAACCAGGGGTGCGGAGTCATAAAAAAAAAGTACCTACTCTGATTCCAGTCATTGAAATTTTCAGAGTACAACTCCAGCTCCAACTCCTAAGCAAAATTTTTGAAAAATCTTTGAATTCTTTAAAAAATATTACGGGATAAGTATTGTGTTTTTAGAGAGAAAGATTTAATTGATAAAACCAATATTGTCCAGTTTTATTCTTTTATAAAAGCAAAATTCAAAATTCAAAACGCTGTGGCTCTGTTTTACTGCTACTCTTAGTAGAATCTGAACAATTTTTTTCGGTTCTGTTTTTATTACAGATAATGGTAATTCACTAGCCTTAGATTTGCAGACACACCCAAATTCCTTAAACAATATTATGTTTTCCTATAATTCTGTTGTGCTAACTCTCCAAAAGCTTCGATCAAAGTCTTCCCTATCACTTGACGAATACCAAGCATTATTCTTCTTTAACCAGTTATTAGAATAAAATAGAATAGAAATATGCTGAACATTCAATTTCTTGATTGTTGAGTCCAAACTACGCAGAGTTTGAGACTGTAATAGCTGTAACGAAACAAAAAAGTTTTAATAAAAATGATCGTTAATATTTAAAATGTTTGTCTATTTTGTTTTTAAATTGATTGACGGTGCTTGCATCTATTCCATTTTGTTTGAGATTGTCCCAATAAATATTTTTATGTTGGTTGTTAATTGCCTTCTTAATTTCAAATTGTGACCCCTTGTTTTTCTTTCATTATCAATAAATTCTTGTGGACGGTAAAAATTAATGTCATATCCTTTAAAATATTTGAATATTTGAAATAAAATTTCTCTTCTTTTATTTTTTTAATTTTTCTTCTTTTATTTTCTACTTTTTTAAATCTATCGGTCAATCATTGCAGAATATTTAGACATAAATCAAAACAGACATAAAGGTCAAGTGGAGAACTATCTAAGGAGATATTTATTAAAAACTATTTATTATAGCTGAGCTGAAACAAATAAAAAAGAAAAACAAACTAAATTACATTTTGTTAAAAGAAATCTCCTTAATTCTAGTGTTCTTTATTTTTTGTGCAGACATTCTTTGCTTGCGTGTGACTATTCAGCAAACTTATACGCCAATGAATAAAAAATAACAAATAAAAAATAAGTATAAGCAATAAAAAGTACCTTGCATTAGCAATAAAAGGAAAAAAAGTGTTGTAAAAGAACATAGTTGTAACAGCAAGAAGCCAAAACTGAATATTTAAGTTGCGAATGTCACCAAGTTTCTTTAAAAATGCAATATGAAAACAAAAAAAATTATATTGTTATTTAGATAACTATTTTTATAAGTAAAAACAAAAATTAATAATCACCATTTTTTTGTTTGCAACCTTCATAGTTTGTTCCTAAATAAAAAATATACAAAATAAATCATAAATATTTTTTGAACTTGCAAAATTTTCTAAAGACATTTAACTTTAAGAGAGCTATTTTAGGAGTGAAAACTTTAAACATAAAAAACATTTTATTATACATAATTCATATGTTTTATACGTAAACTACTTAATTTGATAAAAATAAAATTAAAAGAAACTAAATAACTTGATAAACCTTGATGTAAAAATTAATCAATTAGTACACCCTGTAAGTAAACCAAAACAAAAATAAATATTAAAAAAGTAACTGGTGCAAAAGGTTGTAAAACTATATTGACTTTTTGTGCAATGAAAAGAACTTTTTTATTTAACAATTTTATTTTAAACTTTTAAGTACAAACTTGCTGTGTGGCAGTTTTTTTAAGGCCATCAAACATTCTAGTAAAACAGTATATATCCTTATTCCTCAAGTCAACAAGTAAAACAGTTTTTAACTAATGTTGTTACAACTATTTAATAATTCAACTGCCAACTAAATTGACTAATATGTTTTCTAAAGTTGACTAAAATCAATTATATATTTTTAAAAGTTAACTGAAAGTCGAATCAGTCAAAATATGGGAATAATTTATTTTTTTGAAATTAAAATTAAAAAAAAATAAAAATTAAAAAAAAAAAAAAATTTTTGCTTTTAATTTTTTTAACATCATATCTTTAAAATGTTAATGAAGCAAAACAAATTGAGAAAACGGTCACACACATATGAAGATATTGATATAAAAATTTTTTTCAAAGAGATTAGTTTGATCTTTTAAATGACATTTCTTTTTCTTACGAAGTAGAGTCATCATCGATGCTACTAGTAAGCTACTAGTCAGAGAAGGATTTATTGCATAGTTTTATTGCAACCATATAATTCCCATTAAAGTTAAATCATGTTTTAAGTTCAGGTTGTAGTGAAGATCTATTGATAACAACTTCTGAAATTACACCTGAAATGCCAAATCTTTTTTTATAATAATTTTAAACTTAAAGTATCCCAAAAAGTTCTTATGGTCTTTTCACAGATTATCTCAGAAGAGCATTTGAAAGAAAGTTCATGCCTTCTTACTTACCAATCTTATAGAATTTGCCTTTAGGTGGCATTGAAACATGGATCTCGTGCTTTTAAGGCAAGCGTGCTAACCAAATGTGCATTATGGTTCCAATGCAAAATAACTTTTTTAATCAATTTGTGACCTTTTCTAGCAAAATTTCTCTCTTTAATAGCTCCTATACATTTCGATAAAATGCCCCAAACTTAATATTACTATTGAAATTTTTTTTCATGATTGGATTACATGACTTCCCTCTATGGGTCCAAAGGTCATTTTTTGCGCCTTTTTTGGATAAAATAAGGGGAGTGTTCTAATTATGAAATTTTTTATTTTTTTTATTGTTGTTTGACCAAGTAGAAAGAAATATAAAAACAATTTTAAGCCTAATTTATTATAATATTCAAGTAATAAAGATAAAAAAAATCAAAAAAATGCAATTTTTTAAAAGAGTTTTATATTCTATTTAGTAAAATGGCTGATATGATTAAAAAAATTTGAAAACTATGTATATAGTTATTTTTTGAAAATATTTGTTAATTTAAAAATTTTTTTTATAATATTTTGAAAAAAGAGTTCTTTACATAATCAGTTTTTTTTTTAATTGACCTTCTGCTCTTATATTTGGTTAATACAATAAAAGTTGTCTTTTCTCCTCCTGGTGAATTAATAAAAGTGTTTTGTCTTTTCTCCTCCTGGTGAATTAATAAAAGTATTTTGTCTTTTCTCCTCCTGGTGAATTAATAAAAGTATTTTGTCTTTTCTCCTCCTGGTGAATTAATAAAAGTATTTTGTCTTTTCTCCTCCTGGTGAATTAATTGATCAAAACTTGTGAAGGAATTTTAAATGTAGTAATTTTGTAAAATAACTTTAAATTTGTAGCAAAAACAACATTACAAAAATAAAAAATGTTTAAATTAACTAATTTTATAACCTTTCCTAATGCTGCAATCATTTACTACTTCAAGATTATTTACAAACTAGTAAAATTTTTGGTATTTAACATTTAGGTCCTCTAAAATATTAAGGTTGGCAAATTATTGCCGACCTCATTTTTCTTAATTTCGAGGGTTGATATCATAATACCTCAAGTCAACAAATAAAAGAGTTTTAAGATTAACTTTTAATTGCAGATGTTGTGCATAAGTATTTTTAGTTAATTTTAATGCTATGCAAAGAAAACACTTTTCATAGCGTTAAAACTTTAAATTACAGATTATCAGGGCCTGGTGATCATCAGGGCCTGATGATCATCAGGGTCTGGTGATCATCAGGGCCTGATGATCATCAGGGCCTGATAATCATCAGGGTCTGGTGATCATCAGGGTCTGGTGATCATCAGGGCCTGATGATCATCAGGGTCTGGTGATCATCAGGGCCTGATGATCATCAGGGTCTGGTGATCATCAGGGTCTGGTGATCATCAGGGTCTGATGATCATCAGGGCCTGGTGATCATCAGGGCTTGATGATCATCAGGGCCTGGTGATCATCAGGGCTTGGTGATCCAGACTTTAGTTTGCTTGTTTGGATTAAAATACTATTGTAAGTAAAGATGGGATTTGCAGGTTGATCTGCATTTATGTTAATAAATATTAAGATATCATAAATATTTTTATCTTTCCAAATATTATGATAATGATCATTTAGTTTTTTAGATTTTCAGAAATTGATGGTTAAGTTACAGACTTATTACATTGTTTTGCTTCTTTCCAAAAGTCAGTGTTGCATGATATGTTGCATTTGTTATAAATTATTTTTCTTTTGATGATTAGTTTATCTTTGCAGCTATCTGCAAATATATATATATATATATATATATATATATATATATATATATATATATATATATATATATATATATATATATATATATATATATATATATATATATATATATATATATATATAGATAATATCCTTCATTTAATATATGAACCAATTTTGAAATATTTTTGACGTAATTTTATTAAGCTTTGAATATAGGGGGTCATCCAAGGTTTGGAGTAAATAAGAGTTAAAGTTTTAGAGGTTGGCACAAATCTTGAGCAGTTAATATTGCATTGTAGAAATTGGTGCATGCAGTTTGCATATCATGATGCAACTCGAATAAGTTTTCAAAGTCAGTGCCTTGAATTAATGCTACTGTGTCTCCTATTTTACTGGAGCAGTAGGTAATCTTACGAGGAGGGGTAGGTATGTTTTTTATAGATGAGATAATGGGGTTACATAAAACAACAAGGTGGTCAGAGTTACCGAGTCCAGGGAGAGTTTGAGAAATATAACATTTAGGTGGGTTACTTAGTATTATACCCAAGATTGCAAGTTTTCGAGTCGGGCTTGAGTTAGGACCAATTAGTAAATGCAAACGAGAATTAAAATCTGCAGAACATCCATTCAGGTCAGCGGTACAAAAAATTTGGGGATTGTTGTTGATAGTGTAACAACTGATTGCTGGTTCATTGAGTTGTGCAAATTGGAAAGATGCTTCTCGCTGTGCAGTTACTGACTAGACTGGGATATATGCACAGATTATCAAACATGATGAGTTTCCACATGGGAATAGTTTTGGAAAAGTTTGGACAATGGTAAGATCAATGTTATGAACAGCTTTGTATGATTTGGTAATAGGTAATTAATAGGTAATTAATATTTTCAATTTTCTTTGAGAATCTTTTATTAACAAGTATCAAGGTGCCTCCTCCAATATGGTCTAGTCGCTCTGAGCTAGCAAAATTGTAGTTCTAATATAATTGTGAAAGAATAACATATTTGGCATTACAGTTTAACCATGTTTCAATTAAATACGCAATATGAATGTTAGAATCAGCAAGGAATTGATTTCTGGTTTCCACTTTATTACAGAGTGAACATAAGTTTTTTATAAATATGGTTGGTAGGTACTTCATAAGGATTGTTGAGTTATTTGGATGAGGTGGAGCATGGGCACCGTGAATATTAATGACTGCTCCACGGCAGATACCCCAGTGAAGGTATGCTTCAGGATTTTCAGAACCAAGTTTTGTATTGTGGGGATATATATATATATATATATATATATATATATATATATATATATATATATATATATATATATATATATATATATATATATATATATATATATATATATACAAACTTAACATTAAGGAAAAGTGTATGTATTATTGTCAACTTATGTATCACTGTCAACCTGATATAGATTTTACTAGTAGTATACACCCACTTAAGTTAAAACATACTGTTTTTTGTTTACTTTCTAAAATATTACGTATTGTTCTACTCACAGATTTTACCTTTAATAGTGGATGTGAAAATCTTTATTTTATTTTCTGACAAAAGTAAACTTATTAGTTTGAGGCCAGCTGGTAGTAACATTTCTTAAAATATGTAATAGCTCTAAAAATCCAGGATTCAATCAACAGCTGTTGATGGAATAAATTTCACCCCCAACCTTCATCTTTGATGAGCTGTTGATGATAAGAGAATCTGATTCTATCAACAGCTATAAATATCAGAGTATTAACAATGTCATGTTGTGCATGGATGGTGTCTCTGCACTTTGTGCTTGTGGGTGAATTGTTAAAGCCAAGTTACAAGCTATTTGCTAAAACTGCTAAATCCATCAAACCTTTAAATCCATCAAACCTACCTTTAAGGAGACTAATTTTAATTCAGCTATTTCTAGGCTCAACAAATCTTTATTTTTAATCATCTGTCAAAATTGTTGTTATTGGTGAATTTAATGCACATCACATTGAATAGCTGATGTTGGGTCCTTTTGTTTTGGTATTTTGTCAGTTTTTTGTTTTTCTCATTGCCCCTCATTCTTTTTAGTAACTCCCAACATAAAGAATGGTTGATTGCAGTCTTGATGAAAGCAAATTTAATTCGATGTCAAATTTGAGTTCAAATTTTAAAGTTGAAAATTTTAAGTAAAATTGATGACTAAAAAAATTATTTTTATTGCTCCAAAACCCATATAGTTTTACAACTTTTTGCATAAGTTACTTTTTTTAAATTTCTTTTTGTTTTGGTTTACATACAGGGGAGAACTAATAAAATAATTTATATGCAGTTTTATCAAGTAATTTTGCACTTGATAAAACTGTATATAAATTATTACGTTATTGACATTTTGTGTAATTCTCCTTGGACAAGCACTTGTCCAAGGAGAATTACACAAAATGCAAATAACGCCAATAGGCCAATTCTTGGTTAAATAGAAATATGCAAATCTTTTTTAATTTTCTAAAAAGAATTACTTATGTAGCAATTGTTATGAAAACCTAAAAAACCTGAAAATAAAGTCACTAAGTTTGTTTGCAAAGACTCATCTTTAAAGATTGATTTTTTTTACCAAGTTAACATAAAACATGTTAACTTGGTTTTAGTTTTAGAAAAACTAAAACCAAGTAACATGTTTTACGTTAACTTGCTTTTAATTTAATTTAGTTTAATTATGAACTTATTTTTAAAAAATCCAAGATCTCAACATAGAGGATAAAAAGTTGTTTTAAGGTCTTAAGATATTTTTTGTCTTTTTAAGACCTTAAGATAACTTTTGTCCTTTTAAAAGAAAACTAAAAGAAAGTTAACATTTTTTAAAAAACTCAATAGTTATGGACTTAACATGGAGGGAAAAATTCATTCCAAAATCATATATCAGATTAAAGTGTCAGCAGAAACAGGGCTTCTCTGAGAACTTGTATCAGGCCCTTCCATCCAGACAAGGCCAGAGCAGTTGTTTTATTCAAGGCAGCACGGGATCAAAAAAGACTGGATGATACTAAGAAGTTAGATAAACTTTACAACCAAGTACAAAAGTAGAACCAAGTGGATCATCGGGTAAGATCCAACCTCAATTCAACTAAACTCGATTTTTAAACAAACTAGCAATTTTAAAATTAAGTTTAAAAAAATAAACAATAAACAAATTTCATATCATTTGTTATCATTCTATTTAGATGCTGTTTATCCACACAAAAGACAATCTGGAAAAAACCTTTTTCAGAAGTCTCCCAAAAATAGTGGAAGGTTCTTATTGTTACAACCAAACTACCATTCTTCAAGAAGTTTTGGTAGAATAACATCAAATATACAAATTGGCTATTCTTCAAACTTCAAATAAATTTTGTTTACTTATTTGGAACTTGTTCCTACAAGTTCCAAATAAGTAAACAAACTTTGATCCTAAGCCTAACACTTCACTATATCTCAAAGAAATGGAGCCTGGAGAAGCTGCTGGTGTATTGTGGAAGTGCAGTGGGTAGAAAAACACAATATAAAAACATAAACAAAATACAATTTTTTTTTTTACATTTTTTTTTTTGATGTACTAGTTATGATTGAAGTTACAAACATTTTTTTAGGTTTTTTTAACATTAATTTATGATAATTTATATTAAGTAATCAATTTATGATATAATATTTATATTAAGTAATTAATTTATAATATAATATTTATATTAAGTAGGGTGGATGTAATATACATGGTAGCAATTTTCAAAAAAATTCTTTATAAAATAAAAAGAGAAAAAGTGTATAACCTGAGAGGAGATAAAAAAATATTACAACTAATGCTTATAGCAAAAAATGAATGCAATAATACACTTATATTTTAACATAAGTACACCATAATAAAACCTGTCTGCCGCCCACAGTGTTAAAATAAACTTAAAATGCGAAACTTTATAGTAAATAAAAAAAAGTAAAAGTTAAGTAAAAAAAAATTTAATAAGATAATATTTGAAGAATATTAAATATTTTAATGTAAGAAAAAATAAATAAAATATAACACCTGATTTAGCTGTCTTTGTCCACTTCTGTCAAGTATAAATATTATTATGGCACTGAACCACCCAATTAAACACAAAAAAGAACCTTAAGTAAATACATATATGAGTATATATACATATATATGTAGGGATTGCGATTTCCCGGACTTTTTCCATTCCCGGGATAGCGGGAATTATTTATGTTGTTCCCGGGATCCCAGGAAAATCCCGGGAAAGTACATTTATTACATTACAGTACATTGTACATAATAAAATACAAATATATATATATATTTTTATTATTCTTTTCACTTTGTTTTTAAAACTATTTTTGTGATTTAAAGTGACCTTTTAGAAAAACCAGTGCATCCAGATGTCTGATCTGAACAATCCCTATATATATATGTGTGTATATATATACACACACACATATATATATGCATATATATATATATATATATATATATATATATATATATATATATATATATATATATATATGCATATATATATATGTGTGTGTGTGTATGTATATATATATACATACACATATATGTGTGAATGAATACACCCTGATTAAAATTTTAGTCAAGTTTCATTGTTTAACTATCATCAGGAGGCAAAGAAAATTAGTAACAACAAGCAAATATCAAAGTATCAAAGCATTAAGCATCAAAGTATATCAATTAAGATTAGGATGAGCTTAAAACAAAAAATTTCAAAAGTTGCTTTTTATTACCTCTAAATGTAATAAAATAACACTGGAAATAAAAATTTTTTTTGAATAAAAAACATTTTTAGAGTTTTCCCCGAGACCCCTAAACATTTACAGGGTCCACAATATTTTGAAAAAAAAAGTTTTTTCAAAAATAGGACAATAAGCGAAATTTACATACTTTTAAGGTTTTCACTGTTAATGAAATATCTATTTGTACGCATTTTTTTGATTGTTCACATCATTTATGAAACCTTTAAAAATTATGATTTTTGATTTTATTGCTTAAAAAATATGGTTTTTTATCGACAGTTTATAAATAAGTGCATTTTTAAAAATTTTTTAAATATTTTTTTAAATATGTTTTTCATTAAAGGAATATTATTTTAAGATTTTTATATCATTTTTCTTCTTTAGAGTACCAGGTTGACTGACTTTTGAAAAACTTATTTTTTCAAAATATTGAAATGTTTAAGTCTTGAGAACAACTCTAAAATTTTCTAGTTTATTATTTAGAATACATTTAGAGGTATTGGAAGACAGTTTTTGAGAATTGTTGCTTTTTGGCCCAAAACCATATATCAAATCAAATGCAAAATTAGCATCTGCTATGGTTGCATCTCTTTATTGTGCTTGCCACTTTCTTACTTAAGATTTTATTCTTAATCTCAAATTTGTCTTTGTATGGAATACTGTTACCATATCTGGGGTGTATCTTGTAACTTCTAATGATGCCCTTTCTCTTATAGAAAAAGCATCATTGGAAGGTACAAAAACGCATTGTAAACATAGTTGGAACTGCTCTTGCAACAAACCTCCAACCATTATCATATCGTCATAATATTGCTTCTCTTTCTCTTTTCTATAAATACTATAATCGACACTGCTCTATAGAGCTAACAAATTGAAATTTTGCACAAAGATTACTAATGTTTGTTTTTTTTATTATTCACCTCCTTAAGGCTGAGAAGGCCACTACAGATAAGGAGGCTACTTATTAGTGGTTATAACCCTCTCTCATCTCTATAACTCCGAAACACGAACCTTGACGAACAAGGCCACTGTGCAGAGAAATAAATTGAGTGTGGTACTACCAGGGATGTGGTGGGGATCAAACTCAGTACCTCTCGCTTATGAAGCAAGCACTTTACCACTACACCACTACCGCATGTATAGAGATAATTATATATATATATATACATATATATATATATATATATATATATATATATATATATATATATATATATATATATATATATATATGTAAAAAAATAATTAAATAGCTAATATAAATTTTAATAATAATAATAAATAAATATGCTAAAATAAATTTTATACTTTGGTGAGAAATAAACCAAAAGCTTATTTTCGAAAAATTAAGATTTACTAGGTTGGCGATTTTTAAAGCCTGTTTACACTGAAAGTTTTTGTTTTTATCAATGACTTAAAAAACTGTTTTCTAATTTTTATGGCCGATTTTCACTGATTTTTTTTGTTTTTGTTTTGAGATATAAAGTTTTTGCTGAAAATAAGTAAAAATTTATAAACAGAGGGAGGGGGGGTCTTAATAAGCTTGGGGTTGGTGGGAAAATTTTTCAAAAATTTATAAACACCCCCTCTTCCCCCTTTCTTAAGGACTCGAGAGTAGGTATGAAAACACTAAACACAAGAAATATGTGTCAATAAAGTTAACAATTCTTAAAATTTTGATGGATAACCTTTAAATTTCAAGACTTCAGAGATCCTATTGGGCATTAAACTACACAAATTCTCACACTATTCTGAAGTTATCTCTAGCAACCAGACATAATTGTATCAACTGTTGTGTCTCTTGCAAGGGCAACTTGGGTTTACACTATGTCACAGATTGGCAGGATTTAAATCTGGGTAATCTAGAGACCATTCAACTGATCAGCTGAAATGCAAAATATTAAAAAGTAAACAATTAAGTTATTGTTCTGACCAATCAAATTTAATTTTTGCATTTTTGCAACCATAGTATTTTATGCATTACACTTTTAGAGTTTGTACAATATATTATGAGCGTAATATTATTTTAAAGCCTAATAATCCACACCATATATATATATATATATATATATATATATATATATATATATATATATATATATATATATATATATATATATATATATATATATATATATATATATATATATATATATATATATATTATTTTAAAACATCAAAAATACGATTTCTCTCAACACTTATAATTTTTTTATTATTATAGAAATTTTCGCTGGATTTTAGATACCAGCTTCTTCAGCTTGTTAAATGTTACAGTAATTAATAAAATTGTTATAATTTAAATTAAAACGTTGCTATTGACATATATCCATTCAACAAAGGGACAGGTTTTGTGCGAATCGAACATTCAAAAGCCTTGGAAAAAATTCGCGAACAAATAGGCCCAACGAAAATAGTAAGTGAAGACCCTACTGCAAATTACGCGGCTAAAATTCGTAGATATCTTTCAAAACTAAATAAAAGAAACTGTTTTTCAAAAGAGGAATACGAAAAAATATATCCTAGTGATCCCATCCCGCCTCGTATGTATGGTGTAATCAAAGCCCACAAACCTGAAAAATCTCCACAATCGGCACAGCAAACTACGGAATATCTGAGTTCTTAGTTAAGATAATACAACCAGTTTTGAATGAAAACATGACAAGATTAAAAAATTCCTTTGACTTTATTAAAAAAGCTGAATCTTGGAAAATTGACAACGATGAAGTTCAGGTATCTTTTGATGTCATAAATCTGTATCCGTCGGTTCCTTTAAAAGAAGCCACCCTTGTACTTATAGAAAAATTAAATAATAATACAACATATAAAAAATTAACAAGACTAAGTATACCTGAAATAAAACAACTTATAGAACTTTGTTTATTTCAATGTTATTTTCATTGGAACAATGAAATTCATATAATGGAAAACTCGGGTCCAATTGGACTTTCGTTCATGGTTGTTCTTGCAGAATCATTTCTACAATTCCATGAAAACAATGCAATTAAAGTTGCACTAAATTTCAACCCTGCACTTAACCTCAAATCGTTCTTAAGATATGTCGATGATAGTCACGCAAGGTTTCCAGATCTCAACCAAGCAAAACATTTCCAATACATTTTAAATCAACAACATCCTTCCATCCAGTATACAATTGAAGTTGAAAACGAGTTAGGAACACTAAATTATCTGGATATACAAATTATGAATAAAAAAACAGGAAAGTATGAATACGTAGTATATCGGAAAGATGCTATCACTAACATTCAAATTAAGCCACACTAAAATTATGATCCAAATATCTTGAACTCTATTTTTAAAGGATTTCTCCACCGAGCTTACTCAATCTGTAGTAAGTCTTACTTGCATAATGAAATAAATTTTCTAATCGACGTGTTTATTGAAAATGGTTACGATAAAACTCAAATGATGAATATTGCGCATCAGTTTCAACACAAAAGACAAAATAAAATTACAATTCCATCTGAAATCAATAATTATCCTGTAGTTTCCTTACCATGGGTACCCGGTCTCTCGCCAAAACTTAGGAAAATATTCCGAAAAGCTGGTTACAGAGCGGTATTCAAATCAAACCCAAACTTAAGATCCCTGTTAACATCAAAAAATAAATCAAAACTACCTAATAACAGTCAACCGGGAACATATATAATCAAATGCAACTGTTCAAAAGTGTATGTAGGCGAAACAAAAATGAAAGTAAACACACGAATTCATCAACACCAAAAAAGCATTGATGAAAATAAGCAGCATCAATCTGCATTAGCTCTGCATAAAATATTTTGCAAAAAAGAAATTATTTGGGAACAAAGAAAAATATTGAAAGTAGAAAATAAAAAATTTGAAAGAAAAGTTAGGGAAGCCCTAGAAATACAAAAAAACATGTGTTCTGCAAAAAATGGCGGGAATTATTCTCGATGAGGGTCAATACGTAAAAACTAAGTTTTGGACGCCATTTTTTAAATTTCAGCGAAAAAGAAGCCATTCAACCGCTGACGTCAATAGCAACGTTTTAATTTAAATTATAATGATTTTATTAATTACTGTAACATTTAACAAGCTGAAGAAGCTGGTATCTAAAATCCAGCGAAAATTTCTATAATAATAAAAAAATTATAAGTGTTGAGAGAAATTGTATTTTTGATGTTTTAAAATAATATATAAATATACTCTCACACAAGATGTTATCCTTTAAATCATATATATATATATATATATATATATATATATATATATATATATATATATATATATATATATATATATATATACACATATAAAACAGTGTGGAAAATAACGGCCGGTAAACAATGACAGCTTGAAATGACTAAAAATGCTAT